GGGGTAGGAGGGGACCAACAACTGAGACTGCACAAAGAATAAACAAGGAAAAGGGATGCTGAGGACTAACATGTTTACTAACAGTTCAAGGAGAAAAGAATAGAAAAAAAAAGGAGGGGAAGCAATTGAAGAAGAGAAATGGCTAAGAATTTTCAGAATTGATGAACTACACCAATTATCAGACTGAATAAAAAGCAACTAGAACAAAAGAAAGGTTACATGTAAACATATTGTTGCAAAACTTTAGACTATCAAGGCAAAACATAAGGTCTAGAGAACATCTGACAGATTATAAACAAGAATTTCATTGATTGTAGATTTTTCAACAGAAGCAAGAGCAATCCATATGAATATGGCTGAAAGAAAGCTAAAATAAATTTTTTATGATACACATAGAAAAAATGTTCAAGATGATGAATGAAGCAAAGGCATTTTTTTGACAGAAAAGCAGACTCCTAGTCATTCTCTTCTTCCTTACTGATGGAACCTCAGTTTTATTTGGAGTGACAATGTACTTGGATAAAAAATTGCACGTGCAGTCTCCCTTGAAACTAGGGTGGTTACTGTGACAGTTTTGGCCACTGAGGCAAAAGATGACACACAGGAAAGGTTTCTGAGAATGCTCGGAATCTCTGATGTCTCTGATGCCTCTGATCCCTGTTATAAACCCTTTCTGCTCCCTTCCCTTTCCTCTCTTCTGATGCCCACTGGGGCACGATACAGCTTAAGCTGCAACAGACATCTTAGATTTTGAGACAAAGGCTGAGGGAATCATAGAAACCTTGCCCTATAAGTACTTACCTCTGCACATTGTTACGTGAGGAAACCACCATTTCAGTCCATTATAATAACTTAAAACAATTCTATCTGTTACAGACTGCAGAAGAAAACTTGATTATTAACAGAAATACGATTGTGTATAGAAAACCAAGTGACTCTATAGCCACAGTTGCAGAAATAATAAATGTTCATCAATATATTAACATAATAGGCAAAAATCAATTACATGTCTATATCTCGCCAAGAAACAGAAAATGTATTTTTTAAAGTATAATGTATACTAGGAACACAAAATACAGGGTTTATAGAAATAAACCTAATAAAAGATACATAGGATATTTACAGAGAAAATTATAAAATTATTGAAAGGAATTTACAAGTTCTAAGTAAATAGAGAGCAAAAGTAAATTTTTTGGATGGGAAGACTCAATTTCATGTAGAAATTTTCTTTGTCAATCATTCTATTCTTCCCAAATTAATCATCTATGCATTAAGAGTAATTGCAGTAAAAATTATGATAGAATTGTGTGAGAGAGACACTGGTCAAGTTACTTTTAAAATTCATAAAGAAGTGCAAAAAACCAGGAATAGCATGACAATTTTGAAGAACAAGGTTTGAGGACTCAACACATTTCAGTATTTACTCTAAAGCTATGGTAATGAAGGCAGTATGGCTTCAGTATAGGAAGAAGTAGGTAAGCCAAGGGAACAAAACAGATCCAAGAAACATATCCATACATATGAACACCTGTGCTACACTGAAAATCACTGGAGAAAGGATAATAAATGATGCTAGAACAATCAGTTATCATACACAAAAATCAATTACGGGTGAAAGAAAAGACCCAAACGTGAAACGTAAAACTTAAGTTGAGAGTGTATTTATGACCATAGGGAACAGAAAGGCGACTTACACAAAAATTACAAATCTGATCAATTTTGACTACATTTAACTCAGTAACCTCTGTTCACATAAAAACACCGTAAACAAACTGAAAAGCCAAAGTATAGCCAGGAAAAAGACAGTCTTCGGAACTTCTAAGAATTAACATCCCAATGGAAAAGTAGGCAAAAGAAAGTAACGATTCACAGAAGAAACCAGCATGAATAGTAACTACAAAAAGATGCTTATCCTTATCAGCAGAGACCATAAAAACATATCATTTACACTCATCAGGCTGGCAAAAAAACTGATTAAGTTTTATAACAGCAAGAATTGTTGCTATAGAACAGGGGAACTTTTACATACTCCTCAGCTGAGTGCACATTGGTACAAACATGGTGCAGAGCAATATGGTGTATCTCATAAAGGTGAAGATGTGATTGTCTATGACACAGCTATTTTACTCCCAACTGTATATATCCCAGAGAGACTCTTGTACAAGACACAAGTCAAAGAATATTCATAGCATATTGCTATGAAATAAAAGACTGTACATATAGGTAGCTTCAGTAATATTTGAAAAGTATCACTCCTGGGTGATCAGCACCTAGGTTATCATTCAAATGATTTTTTTTTTAACATTAGAATGGCATGTGAAATATTGCAAACTGGTAACAGATAAATCTGACTACTTTTAGAACGTATGGCATCATGTACTTAGAGTGGGTGGAGATTGATAGAGATCAAGCCACGAGGCCACACCTGAGGGCCTTGACGTTTCTTCACAAGGACTTGCTTACTCCCATTAACCCAAGAAGTGAGCTGCCCCCAACTAAGTGTCTGCATCCTTCTTCCTCTTTCTGCAAGCTCACCCTTCACCCTGTCCCTTTGTAGCCATGACTGACAAAATGACCCCGACCTCAGGGCTCTGTGTTCACAGACAATAGCACTGAGGAAAGCAGGGACCCTCTCTGTGAATGAAATCTACTCACTTTTCTTCAAGTCAACATGATACCACATTTACTTTTATTAATTTTTAACGAGGCAGTATTACCTATCAGAAGACCCCATGAATTTGCACTTTGACAACAGGTAGCTGATGAGGCACTCTGTTTCAACTTTATTGCTTTGCATATTCCATTAAGTTTAGTTTCTTATTTTTCATGATGTTGTAGAAAAAATAATTACTTCAAAAGTCAAAGTGATATGTAACTATATAAATAAGTAATGGTATATCGTATGCAGGCAGGATCAAAAGTTATCTCAGGAAGGTTAAGAGCCCAGCCCTCATCATGCTGAAGGCCCCCTTACCAGAGAAAACCTTATCCGAAATTAGGATGTGTGCTATGATTTGACTCATGTCCCCACCCAAACCTCATACTGAATTGTAATTCCTAATGTTGGTAAAGGAACCTGGTGGAAGGTGACTGAACCATGGAGGCAGGCTTCCCTCTTGCTGTTCTCCTGGTAGTGAACGACTTCTCATGAGATCTGATGGTTTAAAGTGTGTGGCACCTCCTCCATCACTTGCATTCTCTTTTACTGCTATGTGAAGAAGGTGCCTGCTTCCCTTTCACCTTCCATCATGATTGTAAGTTTCCTGAGGCCTCCTGGTCGTGCTTCCTAGTAAGCTTGCATAACTGTGAGTCAGGCAAACCTCTTTTCTTCATAAACCACCCAGTCTCAGGTAGTTCTTTACAGCAATATGAAAATGGACTAATACAATGTGTATGTTATTGTGGGAAGTACAGGATCAAAGGACATTCTAAAGATCCAAGAATCATGTCTAATGTATGACTCTTTTTAATTACTGTAAGCAAAAGGAAGCTGGGACATCTACCCCTAGTGCCAACATTCCTCTTTACTCCACTTAGTGCTCTTCATGGTGCCAGCCCTTAAAAGTACGATCACTCCAAGATCCAGCAGGAAGTTCACCACTGTCTAGATTGGGTGCCCTTGGAAATAATGAGAACTGTAAAAAATAAAACAGTTGTTTTGGGCCAGAATGTTTTCAAAAAAGCTTCCAGTGAGAGCTCACGTCAGTTTCAGCTAAACAGCTTCAAAGCCTGTCATAAATTTCTGTGCACTGGAGGAGATGTATTCCCGCAGTCCTTTCAAATTCTGATGAGCTCTCTAGACATGTGTTTCAAAATATTTCTAGTTTTTCCTAATTGTTTCTGCAGTGGCTCACAGAAAGGTCTTTTTCAAGTCTTTTTGTTTCAAAATATTTATTTCGTGGAAATAGATTTATTTTCTTCTGGTCATCTAAATACTTTACCTGTTAGAAAAGAATGACATAGAGTTCTGTATTTTACTTGTACAACCTTAGCGTATTGGTCAATCAGGAGATGACCCCTTTGATGTTCAATCAGAGCTCTTTGATTAAATTACTGCTATTCTTAGAAAGACTAGAGTTGATTCATCTCACAATGACTGACAGTTCCTTTTGGAATCAGCATTTATTTCATGAACAGGAGCCCCTTACTTTTTAATATTTTAAAATCAAATAGTTTTAGTACTACTGGGACCTAATATAGTTCACAATCACTAAAAAACATTTTAAAATTTAGTAAGAGCAACAAATCTTATGTCAGAGATTTGACTACAAAAAGAATTTGCTGCTTCTCTAGAAAAGTAAAATACGTTTTTCAAATACACAAAATCATGAAGAAGGTGGGGCAAAGAGTTCTTTGTTATGACATCAAAAGTATGATCCATAAAAGAAAAAACATAGACTTCATTAACGTTTATTAATTTAGTTAATGAAATTTCAGGAAGTGAAAATATAAGCCAAGGACTAAAAAGTTTTTGCAAGTCACACACCTGAATAAAGGCCTTGTATCTACAATATATAAAGGACTCTTACAACTCAATGTAAATATGGCCAAATAAAATATGGGTAAAAGATCTGAACAGACATGTCTCCAATGATGATACATAAATGTTCCCTAAGCACAAGGAAAGATGCTTGACATAGTCATCAGAGAAATGGAAATCAAAACCCCAATGAGATGCCACCTTCACATGCTGGATGGCTATACGACAGAAAACAGACGGTAACAAGTGTGAGAATGTGGAGAAACTGGAACACTCTTATTTATACTGCACATAGAAATGTAAAATGGTTCAGGCGCACTGGAAGGTAGTCTGGCAGTTCCTCAATAGGTTAAACATAGAGCTATCGTATGACCCAGCAATTCCTCCTAGGTACAGACCATAGAGACATTAAAAAAAAAAGAAGGAAAGAAAGAAAGAAAAGAAAAGAAATAAAAAGAGAAAAAAGAAAAAAAGAAAAGAAAAGAAATCATTCATTCCTTTATGGAAAGGTTCTACTTACTGAGGTTCCACTTCAGACCTGTGGTTGTAACCTGAGTACAAGGCTGTCCAACAGGAATCAGGCCACACCAATCACCCTCCATTCCAGTGTCTACATGCAGTCTGTGCTTTCCCTGAAGGAGATAAGAAATGACCATTAAGAAGGAGAAGAGAGAAGGGATGATAACGTGCACTGAAGACCTCGCAGGATGCACCTATGACCTTCACATGGCTTATCATACTTAATCCTCACAAAAAATGTTTGCAATATGTGCTGAATAATCCTAGAACTTACACCTCTTTTAATCCTAACAACAGTTTTACAAAGTATCTTATATCTTATTGTTAATTATGTTTCATATATGAGAAAACTCAAGCTTGCAGAGATTAACATAGGGCCACACATATAAAGTTCCTACCTATACCTGCCAATTCCAGAGACCAAACTCACAGCAATGGCTCTGTGGGTTTGAAACCTATCCTAAATGAAAGGTGCCACACAAAGGGAAACACATAAAGAGAGCTGCGTCTAGTACCCATTACAATGTATTCTGCATTTTTTTTTAAAAGATGGAATCTCACTGTTGCCCAGACTGGAATGCAATGGAACGATCTTGGCTCACTGCAACCTCTGCCTCCAGGGTTCAAGCAATTCTCCTGCCGCAGCCTCCTGAGTAGCTGAGACTACAAGTATGAACCACCACACCCAGCTAATTTTTGTATTTTTAGTAGAGATGAGGTTTCACCATGTTGGACAAGCTGGTCTTGAACTCCTGACCTCAGGTGATCCACCTGCTTTGGCCTCCCAAAATGCTAGGATTACAGACGTAAGCCACCACACACAACTTTGCTTTTTTTTTTTTTTCTAAAATAGTTTTTATTTTCTTTTAGGTAAGAGCTGCCTTTATTCCTTTGTATAGCATTTCCCCCCTAGTTGATTTATATTGAATAGCTTGCCACACAAACTTGAGATATGTTTTTTTCTTACCATTCTTCATTATATAAATAATTCTCTCAGAAGACAGATATACTAAACATAATACTGATGACCATCCCCAGATGCCAAACATAGCATACTTTTACAAATGCTCAAAGAGGTAACAAAACCTTCTTTCTAATAGAAGGAGTTGACGGGGCCAGCGTGGTGGCTTACACCTATAAACCCAGCACTTTGGGAGGCGAATGGATCACCTGAGGTCAGGAGTTCCAAGACCAGCCTGGAAAACATAGTAAAACCTTATCTCTACAAAAATTAGCTGGGCATGATCGTGGGTGCCTGTAATTCCAGCTACTCAGGAGGCTGGGGCGGAAGAATCCCTGAAAACCGGATGGTGGAGGTTGCTGTGAGCTGAGATCATGCCACTGCCCTTTAGCCTAGGCAACAGAGCAAGACTCCATCTCAAAAACAAACAAACAAACAAACAAACAAACAAAAAAAAGGAGTTGATGAGACAGAATGTTTTAGAAACCTGGATTTCCTTAGCATTACATTGGCTTCAGCAGAGAAGGAACAGGAATTGGTGATGACTTTTCATGTAGGTGGATCACCAACCAGTTTCCTGTTGAAGGGCAGTATTCTCAGGGTTCCCATCAGAAAACAGCATTTTCAGAGGGGTTATACGTAACCTGTAGCATTCTGGGCATTGGGTGGCAGAGAGTCGAGGGCTGAAGAGAGCACCAGTGGAACAAGGAAAGGAAGGTACACCTTGTCCAGATCTTTGTACTTTTGCATCTGATAATAGTGTTTCTGAAAATGAGACCTGCTGTTAGAGTGTGACTTCTCCATCACTTATCAAAGAGGAATTCTTGTTGTTGGGCTGTCTTATCTTCAATGTGTTACAGTTAGTTCTTGTCTCTTCATTGACGACTTTCTTTCCTCTGTTTGGGGCCTGTGATTTGGTAGTGGCCAGCTGAATACATTAGCATGTCTGGTACTCCTCGGTGACTTCTGTTAAGAGTGATGAAGGAATTGTTTTTCAACTTGTGATATTAACTCCCTAAGAGAATATTCTTCAACGTGTATCATGTAATGCAAAGGAAACCGCACATATTAAGTTTTATTCACCCAGGGAGAGAAGGGCTGTTATAAAATTCAATGATTTAAATGACACAGTAATAAGCATGCTATATATTCATTGCCTTCCTCGTTATTTTAAGAATCAACAGACCTTAACAACTTTCAATCTAGGAATAAAGTAGTTTGTGGACCTGAGAAGTCACAGATAGGCCTTAGCCCACAATCAATTAACCATGTTTTCTCTTGTTCCAAAAAGGTACTTAGCCTTATGTGAATGGTCTTTGTGTTTATAAACACGCAAATACAGTTTTTATGGTTAAATGAGAGCAATATTTTGCTTTCCTCCTGTATCTTCAAGTCTATGTGACATCGTTTGAAAATGAACAGCTGTATAAAGGAATTTTTGTTCATTCCCCAGATTTCTTAATTCATAATATGTGCTAGCCTATATGTGATTTGACACAGGCAGGCATTCAGGCTGACATTAAAGAACTGCCCTAAGGATTTATGCCATTACTGGAGACTAGAGGCACATGAACTAATCATTTACTTCCATCTCCTCCCATGAATCATTTCACAGGTTCCTGTTCTATCCTCTATTCTGAACTAAGATACCTCTTTGAAGTCAAAGGCAGTCCCATATAGAAAGAAAGAGCAAAAACCAATTACAGTCAGGTTGCTTTTCCAATTGTGGTTATTTCAACACATCTAATAACTTTAATAAGTATGAAATTGTAATTTAGTGAAAGATAACAAAGATGTCGCTTGGTTTGTGTGCTGGAAATCATACTTATGATCATGTTAAAGATAGATGGCAGAATATTATTACCTTCCCTAGACTGTAATGTCAAGGCAAAACAAAATACACACAAATAGGTAGCTGTGACAGGGTAAGAAATTGCTGTTCCTTTGTTTTGTATTATTCCTCCACTTTCCAAAGGACGATGACATAACTGAGAGAAGGGGTTAAAGTTCACTTTAGATTCTGCCTTTGAAACATACCAAACATTGGGCATGGTGGCTGATGTACGTAATCCCATCAATTTAGGAGGCTGAGGTGGGAGGATCACTTGAGCCCAGAAGTTTAAGATTAGCGTGGGCAACATAGTGAAACCATGTCTCTACAAAAAAAAACAAAAACAAAACAAAACAAAACAAAACAAAAAAACCCAAAAAACAAAAAAAACACCCAGAGAGACATATGAATTCTGTTTACATACCCACATCCTTAAATCCAATAACTATGCCAAGTTTTGTGCTAAGATATTTTAGCATGGATATCACAAAATACACAGCAAATTAACAAGATCATTCACAAAGCCTTAAGAAAGAACATAAACACATTAGATTTAGTGTGAACAATTCGAGAAGGTGCCAATGCTAGTTTATAAAGTGGCCAAAGATTCATCAAGTTGCTGTTAATGCCGAACCTACACTCTGGGGCTAACTGCAGCTATAATTAGTGGCACACGGTTAGACCCTGTATGAATGAAACATTGCTGTAGATGGATTAAACACAAGGCTAGTCTCTGGTAGCTCATCTTTTGTTAGCTGGTCCAGATATGTTAAAAATTTATCAACAAACACTGCAGGAAATTGAATAGCCTGCAGGAAATTAAATAGCCTGCAGGAAAGAATAGTAAAAGAAGTATCTACATTACATGTAGCAGGAAAAAAGGTTACTTCTCCTACAGCACAGACTTTTGTGCTGGTATATTTTCATACTGTGACTGCTCACGTGGCTGAAAGTAGTCGCAAGATAAAGGGTCTCCCCAGTGAACTTGTAGTTGTAAAACCTCTGAGTTAGAAGTCTTATATATTTTCTTTGATTCTGCTCCACAAATGTGGAATTCAAAATATAGGTGTATTGGGTTTATTTGAAATAGCCTGTTTCAAATTAATGTTGCATGTATTTATATTAAATTCTGGGTTTTTCCCTTTGAAAAGGCATTAATATCTTATCTACAGATAGCTTTTAGAATTTCAAATCATGTTAGAACATTTTCTAAAGTGCTTTCCATAGAACATTACTCCCAGGGTCAAATACAAATTGAAAAAAATTGCTTTGTCAATTTGCCTCTTGGAAACCACAACATATGCCAGCATGTTAGATGTTCTAGGTGTTCTTGCAGCAAAAACAAGTAAACAGAAACTCTGTTTACATGAATAAGTGTTTCCCAAATTTACTTCACCACAGAACCTCCTTCTGCTGCTCAAATAACATCTTGTAATTTCCCATGGAAGCTTTATTTCATGAAATCAATTTAGGAAAATGTTGATTTGGAATAACATTTTTCACACAACACCCAAAACTAGAATATTTTGGTTTAATATTTCCATAGTCAGAACATTTCAATAATATGTTTTGAACTTCATACCTCCCATCTGATTTTTGTTTTAGAAGTGAGTCAATAACCTCAGGCTGAAGTCACATACATATTCGGACATGAGCTAGCTGTACTATTAAAGGAGTCAATGACAATACTCAACAGGTATCCAAAAGAAAACCTTGTTCATGCTAGTTAACCTAGTTTGTTTATTCAAAAGTCAAAAATATGTATGAAATGCTTATCTTTACTGTTAGAGACATTAGTAAATTACTAATAGTAAATTATTCTAATGACAGGCTTATTTCCTTATTAAGCTCCTAACATTGGACATTTCAAAATACAACATGTGACATTGATGTCTCTGCTTTGTTATCACCTCTGCATTTATGCCCCCCCATTTTTTTTAACAATGGATCATATCTTATCTTAATGCCTTCTTTTTATTCTAGTCAGAGAAAAACCCACTTTTAGCCTCTTCAAAAGATACAGACATTTTAAATGATGACTTCTAGAGATAATATTTATACCAGAAGTAAGCATTACTGGCAGCAGAAACAGGACAGGTTGCATTGAAAGATATATTTTGAGTTACAAAATATATCTTTGATCTCAGAGTTTCAAACTACTTTAGACAAGTGCTTTTTTTAACATCGCATATGATCAGGATGTCCATGTTCTCCTGACTACTCCTAGACCATTTCTCCATCCTTAAGCCAGAGAAATATCAAAGCAAAATGCAAGCTTTACTTTTTTATGAGAACTCCCTATGTATTCCAGCTCGAAAAGA